CTACTTTGAATTTTTCAAAAGCCTATAACTTGAGTACTATTTCAGATAGATAAATGAAATTTCATATGTAAGAATAAGATCTAATTCTCTACCTTTTGTCAAATTTTGAGTAATTTCCGTTGCCCAGAAGTACTAATTTACGCTACTTCCGATTTCTCAAAAAAGTAATGTAAATTTTTAAAGTACTAATAATATTGCGCAGTATTAAGCACTTTTTTATTTGGCGTTCACTTGGTGTGCAATTATTTTGTCTACGAGATTTTATTCTTTTTTTTTAAACTTTAAGTATTTAAAATGGATTAATATCATGTCTATAGCCCGAGTTCCCATCCCCTGTTATTTTATACGAGCCGACCCGCGGCATATCATACGCCGCTATGTAGTTGTTTTTTCTACTTTTCAGTTATTCATAATTTGTGAATTCGATACTACCAACGCTGCCACTGAAAATATTTCTTTAAAACACTATAAGTAGCTCGTTAAGGACGATAACGCCCCCCCTCCTCCCCCCCCCCTCCGTTAAAGTAAATTCCACTTAGTTACCCCCCCACACGTTTAAAATAGTTTCAAACTAAATTATCTGCCCCTAATAGTCGTCGCTAAACCCGGCTCTGTTTGTTAACATTTAGAGTGAACCACAGCTCACCAAACCATGTAGTGGTGGGGGTGGTAGGGAGCGCGTTTACAGCTTGTTTTCTAGCGTCTCCCAGAAGAGAATTATATATATAGATAAGAATATTCGAGAAAGTTTAGGGGAGATCACTTCCGGTTTATTATTCTACGGAGGCAGTTTGGAAAGAGTTCCGTGATTACATGACTGACTACTTGCTGTCATACAACTGACCACATGACTGACTGGGTGCTGTCCTACAAATGACCACATGACTGACTGGGTGCTGTCATACAACTGACCACATGACAAACAGGGTGCTGTCCTACAACTGACCACATGATTGACTGGGTGCTGTCCTACAACTGACCATATGACTGACTGGATGCTGTCATACAACTGACCACATGACTGCGTGCTGTCATCCAACTGACCAAGTCAGACAGTGCACCAGGCGACCATCAGAGCGTGAACCAGTCAGGTACCAGCCTGTGTTCCGTCATGCACGGCTAAACTTAATGTCACGCATGACCTGACTCAGCTGTCAGTCACGTGAGTAATCATGACGTATTGGCCCTCGATATTTATAGAACGTCGTGACGCAAACACGTCACCAACGGTTTTCAGACAAGCCATAAATAGTTCGCTGATCGCATCTCCGTTATCCCTTTGTTTCAAGCGCCAGACTTCCTTATTAACAATCAAGTTCGCCAAACTGTTAAGCTTAATTAATTGATCTGCACATGACGTGCTAATGAAGATTGACAATCTGACGTTATGTAAATTATTGAGCAGGCAGCTTAATTTATACCAACATATAGGAGTATATACTAATATACACAGCATGTAACAACATAAAACACCATTACAGCATAAAACAACATATATAACACTAGCCAGTAGCGTACCAGAAGACCTGCATCTGTAGGCTACTTCAATGTCGGAATAATTCTTTTTGAAAGTCGGAGTTATATTTTTAAACATAGGAAATACTAAGCTAATTGTCGGAAGTATTTTTTTAAATGTAGAAATTATTTTTTTTAATGTAGGAAACTATTTTTTACAATCTTTTATTTTACTTGCTTCCTTGTTCTTTTGTCTGTCTATCTACCTGTCTGCTTCGTCATGAATCGAAACTGCCGAGCGAAATTTCGACGATCTCTAAAGAACATATTCGTTTCAAGCTTGGCAATGTAATCTGACTTCAAATTTTACTTAATATGTTGCGTAATTGATTTTTAAAGAATTTATTTAAAGTTCTTATATAAAGTACTATTTAACGCGCTATTATACGCGCATTTTTCGGGTTTATTAATTGGTGCGCAATAGTTTTTAGGCGTGCAACTTTATTGTACTAAAAATATAGTACAGACAAAAAAGCATAACAAAGTTTTAATAACAAGCTTTTATGTATTAATTAACTTAAAGGGGGAAAGGAAATGATTTTCTTTAAGTATATAGTAATGAACGACTATTTAGATAACTAAAAATAAAAACGTAGGACGCCTTTTGTCTAGTAAAGCTATTCAAAACATAATGTAGTGACCAATCCTTCACACCATCACTCTCCCGTAAGAGTTTGAAGCTTCAGCATAAAAACAAGCCCAATATTTTCTAGCCGCGACAACCCCACTTCCTGTGCACCAACCACGCCCTAAAGCAGGTAGAGTGACACACCTGAGCTCATTTGTTAAACTTAATGGGGATTAAAAGCCACAGGTAGGGATACAGGTAGGGATACACTTGAATCTAGACACAGGTAGCGATACACTTGAATCTAGACAGGTAGGGATACACTTGAATCTAGACACAACTAGGTAGGGATACACTTGAATCTAGACAGGTAGGGATACACTTGAATCTAGACACAGGTAGGGATACACTTGTCTAGACACAGGTAGGGATACACTTGAATCTAGACACAGGTAGGGAGACACTTGAATCTAGACACAGGTAGGGATACACTTGAATGTAGACACAACTAGGTAGGGATACACTTGAATCTAGACACAGGTAGGGAGACACTTGAATCTAGACACAGGTAGGGATACACTTGAATGTAGACACAACTAGGTAGGGATACACTTGAATCTAGACACAGGTAGGGAGACACTTGAATCTAGACACAGGTAGGGAGACACTTGAATCTAGACACAGGTAGGGAGACACTTGAATCTAGACACAGGTAGGGATACACTTGAATCTAGACACAGGTAGGGAGACACTTGAATCTAGACACAGGTAGGGATACACTTGAATCTAGACACAGGTAGGGATACACTTGAATCTAGACGGGTAGGGATACACTTGAATCTAGACACAGGTAGGGATACACTTGAATGTAGACACAACTAGGTAGGGATACACTTGAATCTAGACACAGGTAGGGAGACACTTGAATCTAGACACAGGTAGGGAGACACTTGAATCTAGACACAGGTAGGGAGACACTTGAATCTAGACACAGGTAGGGAGACACTTGAATCTAGACACAGGTAGGGATAGACTTGAATCTAGACACAGGTAGGGATACACTTGAATCTAGACACAGGTAGGGATACACTTGAATGTAGACACAACTAGGTAGGGATACACTTGAATCTAGACACAGGTAGGGAGACACTTGAATCTAGACACAGGTAGGGAGACACTTGAATCTAGACACAGGTAGGGAGACACTTGAATCTAGACACAACTAGGTAGGGAGACACTTGAATCTAGACACAGGTAGGGATACACTTGAATCTAGACACAGGTAGGGATACACTTGAATCTAGACACAGGTAGGGATACACTTGAATCTAGACGGGTAGGGATACACTTGAATCTAGACACAGGTAGGGATACACTTGAATCTAGACACAGGTAGGGATACACTTGAATCTAGACAAAGGTAGGGAGACACTTGAATGTAGACACAACTAGGTAGGGATACACTTGAATCTAGACACAGGTAGGGATACACTTGAATGTAGACACAACTAGGTAGGGATACTTGAATCTAGACACAGGTAGGGATACACTTGAATGTAGACACAACTAGGTAGGGATACACTTGAATCTAGACACAGGTAGGGATACACTTGAATGTAGACACAACTAGGTAGGGATACACTTGAATCTAGACACAGGTAGGGATACACTTGAATGAAGATGGTCACTCTAGAGGGGCAGGCACATCTCCATACCAACCTATCAACCTACCAACCTACCAACCTACCAACCTACCAACCTACCAACCTACCAACCTAACAACCTACCAACCAACCTACCAAACTACCAACCTAACAACCTACCAACCAACCTACCAACCTATCAATCGACCAATAGACCAACAGATCAACCTACCAACCCACCAACCTAACAACCTACCAACCGACCTACCAACCTACCAACCTACCAACTTACCAACCTACCAACCTATCAACCTATCAACCTACCAACCTACCAACCTACCAACCTAACAACCTAACAACCTACCAACCGACCTACCAACCTACCAACCTACCAACAAACTGTAACAACTGTCAATCTACTTATATACACAATACTCCATTAGAAGTTTGAATGTATGTACGTACTTGACTTTTTGTGATGATGTCACAAAGTGACATGTTTAATTTTCGTGATGTCACAAAGTGACAGAGCTACTTTATTTGCGATGTCTCCGGGATTTACGACTCAGTCGCCTATGAGATGAAACAAATTCTGTTGGGGGGGGGGGGGGTTGTTGGATTTCGATTTTAAATTTTACACAACAAATAGAAATAAAATAATAAAGCAGTTTTATGATTTTAAATGTTTTATAAAAAACTGAAGATATTTCAAATAATTTGTTTATAAAATGACCAACTTTCGCGAGTCTTGTTATAGAATGGTGGCTCGAATAAATTCAAGTCTTCCTTATAAAAACCTACATAAATATCACTACAAGAAGGACGAGATAGAGAAGACCAAGATGTACAGTAGTTGGGAGTGTGTGTGTGTGTGTGTGCGTGTGTGTGTGTGAGTGTGTTAGCGTGAGTGTGTGTGAGCATGTTTGTTAGCGTGAGTGTGAGTGTGTGTGAGTGTGTTGGGTTATGCACACTCAAATCTACCCACTGCCTGTCGTCCTCATTAGCAAGTTTTAAAACAGCGACTTATTTTTTTTACATTTTTAAAAAAATATATTTTTTACAGTTTTTGTAATTAAAACCTCCTGAAATAACCTGAATAATTAATCTAATTAGGACCCCAAGAATGGACCAAGTGAGGCAGTGTAGTGACCGAATCGACAGCGTAAGGCTAAAATGTGTGTGTGTGTGGGGGGGGGGGTAGACAGAAGCATACATGGCATGGTGATGTGTTTTAAACTAAGATGGATGACAGCTCTTTAAAAATTATGGCCCCTCTTCGTACGGAGACAAGAGGAGACAATAAGAACTAGCAGGGGAGATAAGGAGGTGTCCGACTTTCCGCCATTTTGTACGAATATTCACAAGCAGTAAGTTTTTTTTCTTGCGTTAGTTACAACACTTTATAAGTAAACATTTCTTGCTAAACGTTCATTTGAAACAATTTATTAACCAGATTCAACTGACCTTTAAAACATTTAAAATAAAAACAACTGCAGAATAAAGTAATGTAATTGACACAGGAAACTGTGGAGCTTGACGAAAGTATTTCTCTGTGTCGTCTACCAGTCGCGTTAATGGCAGAAGGCAAGTCTGGGATCTAAAGATGCTCACCTCCAAGCATTGACCGGATTACCTCCAGTAACTGACCCCTCGAGTTTTTCATCACCCAGCTAGAGGTTACTCTACAGGTAAGTCGATTAGAGGTTACTTGATAGGTCAGTCTCACACCTGTCAATGGAGCCTGCATTCTATTCACTAGTTACTTTTGTTACTCGGTGTAAGCAAACAGCCAGCCAATGTTTCAACTTCGGCTAGACAATGTCCACTAGTTTAAACTTCAGCTAGCCAATGGTCGCTAGTTTAAACTTTAGCTAGCCAATGTTTCAACTTCAGCTAGCCAATGTCCACTACTTTAAAATTCAGTTAGCCAATGGCCACTACTTTAAAATTCAGCTAGCCAATGGCCACTAGTTTAAAACTCAGCTAGCCAATGTCTACTAGTTTAAACTTCAGCTAGCCAATGGCCACTAGTTTAAACTTCAGCTGGCCAATGGCCACTAGTTTAAACTTCAGCTGGCCAATGGCCACTAGTTTAAAATTCAGCTAGCCAATGGTCAATAGGTTACCTATTGATATTTGGTGTTGGTAAAACTACTGACAAGCAAAGGTCAGAAAGGAATCGGGTTGCTGTATTTAAGGTAAGTCTGAGTGCTATTGTTAAACCCAAAGCCAATTGTAAGGTGTTGAATGGCTTAACACACCTGGAATAGGTGCATCTCGTAAATAGTTCGGCACTTACAGCACTAACACATCACTACCGTTAAATAAAGAATAGACAAAATATATTTTTCCATTTTCTTGTTTGGTCCAAGTTTTCAGTTACTACCACATCACAAATCAACATCACCAGACAACATCCCCAGACAACATCCCCAGACAACATCACCAAACAACATCACCAAACAACTTCACCAAACAACATCACCAAACAACATCACCAAACAACTTCACCAAACAACATCACCAAACATCACCAAACAACATCACCAAACACTTTCACCAAACAACATCACCAAACATCACCAAACAACTTCACCAAACAATATCACCAAACAACATCACCAAACAACTTCACCAAACAACATCACCAAACGACATCACCAAACAACATCACCAAACATCACCAAACAACATCACCAAACAACTTCACCAAACAACATCACCAAACATCACCAAACAACTTCACCAAACAATATCACCAAACAACATCACCAAACAACATCACCAAACAACTTCACCAAACAACTTCACCAAACAACATCACCAAACAACATCACCAAACAACATCAACAAACAACTTCACCAAACAACATCACCAAACAACATCACCAAACAATATCCGCACATCCCCACATCACAAATCAACATCACCAAACAACATCACCAAACAACATCACCAAACAACATCACCAAACAACATCACCAAACAACTTCACCAAACAACTTCACCAAACAACATCACCAAACAATATCCGCACATCCCCACATCACAAATCAACATCACCAAACAACATCACCAAACAACTTCAGCAAACAACATCACCAAACAACTTCACCAAACAACATCACCAAACGACATCACCAAACAACACCACCAAACAACACCGCCAAACAACATCACCAAACAACATCAACAAACAACTTCACCAAACAACATCACCAAATAACATCACCAAACAACTTCACCAAACAACATCACCAAACAACATCACCAAACAACATCACCAAACAACTTCACCAAACAACTTCACCAAACAACATCACCAAACAATATCCGCACATCCCCACATCACAAATCAACATCACCAAACAACATCACCAAACAACTTCAGCAAACAACATCACCAAACAACTTCATCAAACAACATCACCAAACGACATCACCAAACAACACCACCAAACAACACCACCAAACAACATCACCAAACAACATCAACAAACAACTTCACCAAATAACATCACCAAATAACATCACCAAACGACATCACCAAACAACATCACAAAGTCACCACACCACAAAGCCACACCATACGAAACACAACCTTCACAAACCACACCATTTCTTTCATCCTTGGCAAACAACCCACATAAGGATTAAAACTGTCACATTTATAACGCAACATTTCCTAGTGGGTCTTCTAGCTGTCAGGGCCAAGGTTAGCAATCTAAAAAACAAAACTTTTTCCAGCTAATGTGTTTGTAGTCATAAGTACTGACCAATAGAATTATAGGCCTACAGCAGTTTTTTTTTAACATGGATGTGTAGGTCTAGAGTGCAGTGTGTAACTGGGGGGTGTGTAGGCCTAAAGCACATACTGTCTTGTGATAACACTATACTGCCGCAATTATGACGTACATTTCATTAGCTAATAGATTATCCTCTGGGCGTCAACTGACGTAATAAAAATTCTAGAGACATGACAAAGTTCTACACGAGCTTAAACAAGTTGGGAGGGTGGGGGTGGGGGGGGGGGGGGGTGGAGGAGAAGATTTATCTCAGGAACCCAAGAGTTACTGTCTACAGCGGGGTTCTTGGCTTTTGTCTGAGAAAAATGGATGAAAACTGTAAATTATGACGCACGAAACAATTAAAACCAAATTTCAAGAACATTTTATTAATCCAGCTGGGTATGTTTACACAAAGTACGACAGAACAATTCACATAAACAGTCAACTTCGATCTCTCTCTGAAATCGGCTGATAATTATGGGATACGATACAAGCAGTTGCCCATTTAGTATAAATTGATGTACAACCCCGACCGACCCCTTTATGTAGAAGCCAGACCCCCGACCCCGAACAGAAGTATCGTTGCTTCTCATAAACTCATTAGCAAAGAAATATTTTTAAATATAGCTCTTCTCGCAAAAAAAAATGTTTTCATCCAATGGTATGTGGTGCTTTGACAGGCATGAGATGATACAATGTGATGCTAAAATGTGATGATACAATGTGATGATACAATGTGATGATACAGGCACGTAGTTTTATGAACTCCATAGTGTGGTGCTCCTCCGTGGCGTCGCTAGGGCAGGTGTCACCAGCTGCGGTAACTAAGGGTGTCGCCCCACATTTCCCAACAGATTTGTATTTTCGGTTTTGTGTCACCTCTCTCCCCACTACATCATTATTTTTAACTGGACAAAATTTTTTGTTGACAGAAATGTTAGGATTTTAAAAAATTGGTGTCACCCCCTCTCCCCACTACATCATTATTTTTAACTGGACAAAATTTTTTGTTGACAGAAATGTTAAGATTTTAAAAATTTGGTGTCACCCCCTCTCCCCACTACATCATTATTTTTAACTGGACAAAATTTTTTGTTGACAGAAATATTAAGATTTTAAAAATTTGGTGTCACCCCCTCTCCCCACTACGTCATTATTTTAACTGGACAAAATATTATATTGACAGAAATGTTAAGATTTTTTAAATTGGTGTCACGCTTCAAAATGGTGTCACCCAGTGCGGACTACAGCCCTCAACGCAATTGTAATACTACTGGCGCCCCCACATGCCCGGTACTAATCCCCCCCAGACACCCCCCCCCCCCCCACCTGCACATCCCCGGTGATAAAAGTCAAATTTTAAAGACTTTTTTTTCGTCCGCAAAATAAGTTTATTTTAGGAGTTGTCAAAGTTGATTTTAAAGTCCAAAAACTGTCGGTAAATACATTGTTTAGCAGGGATAAATAGAATGTTTAGATCCAAATTTGGAGCAAATGTGCAGGGATAAATAGAATGTTTAGATCCAAATTTGGAGCAAATGTGCAGGGATAAATAGAATGTTTAGATCCAAATTTGGAGCAAATGTGGGTAACTTCGTGAGTGAAGCTGACATGGTGACCTACGTCACCTTTTAGACAACAAGATGGATGACATCACGTCACCAAAAACTTGACGTTCGTCATCAAGATTTCTACGACTCGGAATTTGTAAACTGTTTTTCTTGTGGCTGCAACACGAGCGATAGTGGCGTGTTGCTGGCATAGATTCGTGTCTAGGTATACTACACATAGTGTGTAGTTGTACAACACATATGCTAGTGTGTAGATGTACTACACATTGGCTAGTGTGTACTTGTAAAACACATAGGTTCGTGTGTAGGTATACTAAACATAGGCTAGTGTGTACTTGAACTACACATAGGCCAGTGTGTACTTGTACAACACATAGGTTCGTGTGTAGTTATACTACACATAGGCTTGTGTGCGGCTATAATACACATAAGCTAGTGTGTAGTCATATAACACACACGCTAATGTGTAAGTGTACTACACATAGGTTAGTGTGTAAATGTACAATGCATACGCTAGCGTTTAGTTGTACAACACATATGTAAGTGTGTAATTGTGTTTAATTTTATGAACACACTACTGCGCGGTGCCCCTATATATTCGACACGTCATTGGTGATAAAAGAAATATAATTCCAGTCCAACCTTTTCTAACAACCATGTACTCGTGTGTACTGAGGTGTGTGTACTAAGAGGTGTGTACAAAGATGTGTGTACTAAAATGTGTGTACTGAGGTATGTGTACTAAGGTGTGTGTAGTAAGGTGTGTGTACTGAGATCTGTGTACAAAGATGTCTGTATAAAGATGTGTGTACAAAGATTTCACATGTCATGGTACATGACGCTGAGACACAGCGCAATGATACACCACACGGACACACCACCCGGACACACCACACGGACACGGACACAGCACAAGGACACAGCACACGGACACGGACACAGCACACGGACACAGCACACGGACACACCACACGGACACACCACACGGACACACCACACGGACACACGGACACACCACACGGACACACGGACACACCACACGGACACACCACACGGACATACCACACTGATACACCACACGGACCCACCACACGGACACGGACACAGCACAAGGACACAGCACACGGACACGGACACAGCACACGGACACAGCACACGGACACACCACACGGACACACGGACACACCACACGGACCCACCACACGGATACACCACACGGACCCACCACACGGACACACCACACCGACACACCACACGGACACACCACACGGACCCACCACACGGACACAGCACACCGACACACCACACGGACACACCACACCGACACACCACACGGACACACCGCACGGATACACCACAAGGACACACCACACGGACACATCCGACGATCAAACACACTGACTCGTCAGAACCACACACAAGCCAAACCACCCAAAAATATTACCACAATCTGTGTGGCCTAATCTGAGCACAGAAAGGTCACTGCCCGACCTCACATCACGTGACAGATCTTATGTTGGTCACGTGGTAGATCTCATCTTGGTATGTCATTAACATACCCCTGTATGTATAATGTAATGTAACGATGGAATTTGCTTGCTTATAATTTCAATGTTAAGGTAAAAAAAGATTTTATACTAATATTTATTCTCTCTCCCCCCCCCCACCCGCCCGATTCAAATGTTTAAACCCAGCGAAACAAAGCAATTTCTTACATACTAATTTAGTGAAGTTGGATTTAGATAACGTCCTTTTCTATTCTTTTTTTTTTTTTACAAAAACATTTAATCATAAAAAAAAAAGCCTGCCGAAATTATTTTAATAAATTTTTAAAATGCTAAATTCTTTGAATGTTTCTTTGAATAAATAATTAATTTATATTTAGATATTCTTGCATTGTCATCGGGCATTCTCTTATAATCGAGAAACATAGAAATCCCACAAACAGACCGGAAAAGTCGATTTCGCGAAAGATTAAACGAAAGGTAGAGATCCCGCATAAGAAGTTCCCCTTTAGATAAAAAATTTGCTCAATAGAGTTACAAAACCTGGTGACCACTTGCCAGATTTTTCTCACCAGTCAGGTTTTGACCAATGCTAACTGCAGCAGTGGCGTTTTAATAACTGAACACAAAAAAATGACGTCTGGAGGAAATATTTTGTGTTTAAAATGCCATGTTTTTTTTTCTCCAGGCATTGTCGCAGCTGCAGGGTACAGTGCAATATACAAAATGGCGTTTGTTTTGGTTCCATTGTTTATCCTAGCAACCTACACTAGCAACAGTATAGCAGCGAATAACCCGGGGTTCTGTCTACCGCCATATACTTCTATAAGTAAGTTTAAAATTTCTTGTTTAAGTAAGTAACATTTCTTACGTTTATTGCTCCACTAAACTTGTTCACCCCTTTGTTTCCTGTATAAAGATGTTTTTGTGTATAGTGTGACCACATTGTAGATCTATAGTAACATACATAAGCAGTAATTGAACAATTGCACTGAGGTCATAGTTTGGAGACGCTCTACTATCACCTCGTGAGGAGGGGGAAATTATCTACAACTGTGTTTAATGTTTTACCCCCCCCCCCCTCTCGACACCCAAAGCCCATGCAGTGAACATAAATCACCTGGGGCCTGTAAGGAAGTGAAGCAAGTATTTCACATCTCACGGCGTTTAATTTTTTTGGACTGCAGAATCTTAAATTTTAAGAATTTTCAAACTTAAAAACACGTCACTTCGGTTATTTTACCAAGGCTAATGTAACACCCCTCCATATTTCAGATCTCTGCACCCCCCTGGGCTAATGTAACACCCCTTCATATTTCAGATCTCTGCAACACCCCCCCGGGCTAATGAACACCCCTCCATATTTCAGATCTCTGCACCCCCCCCTGGGCTAATGAACACCCCTCCATATTTCAGATCTCTGCACCCCCCCTGGGCTAATGTAACACCCCTCCATATTTCAGATCTCTGCAACACCCCCCCCCCCGGGCTAATGAACACCCCTCCATATTTCAGATCTCTGCGACCGCCCCTGGGCTAATGAACACCCCTCCATATTTCAGATCTCTGCACCCCCCTGGGCTAATGTAACACCCCTCCATATTTCAGATCTCTGCGACCCCCCCCCCCCCCTGGGCTAATGAACACCCCTCCATATTTCAGATCTCTGCGACCGCCACTGGGCTAATGAACACCCCTCCATATTTCAGGGTCCTAGGACCTTTGACCACAGGTGCTTTGACCATAGGGGGTTTGACCATAGGGGGTTTGACCACAGCGGACCTTTGTCCATAGGGGCTTTGACCATAGGGGGTTTGACCACAGCGGGGCTTTGACCATAGCGGTGCTTTGACCATAGGGGGTTTGATCATAGGGGGTTTGACCATAGGGGGTTTTACCACAGGTGTTTTCTCAGCAGAGGGTCTTTGATCACAGGTGGTCTATCAACGGGTGTTTGATCACAGGTGGTCTATCAACGGGTGTTTGATCACAGGTGGTCTATCAACGGGTGTTTGATCACAAGCGCTGCGTCCGGCTTTAATCATAGGGTCTTTGAGCTCAGGTGTTTTGACCACATAGGGTCTTTGATCTTAGGTGGTTTGTCCAATGCTGTCCATATATGGTAAGGATTTATTTTAAAAGTTGCTAAATTATATTTAAAATTTCGACATGATGTAATAATATGTTAAATCATCATGTATAAATACAAGTCATCTAAACTACTCTATGTCAAAACCATGGAGAATCTCGGAGAGTATAGCACGTCGAAAAAAGGTAAAAGAACTTTGTTGTATCGTGGCCACGAGTTTTGGCTACACAGAGAACAAATGCACACGATTGGCGATGGTGTAGCACGAACAAATAACATTTGTGAAGGTTGGCATTACAGTCTTCAGTCTCTCCTCCAATGTAGTCACCCAACAATGTGGCGTTTCCTTGAAGGTTTACAGATGGACTGCACACGGCAAAAGACAACTTTCTTGCAATGTGTCGCAGGGGCAAGCTACCCAGCTGAGAAGCGATACAAGATGATGCACGAAAAAGTACATATGGTCAAACAGATGTACTGACATATTTGCGTGCTATAGCACATCTGTCATTTAGTTAACCATTTTATGTATTACATCTTTGACTATATTGTTGGCAAGTTTTGTATCATTTTTTATCCTTTATATATGCTATGTATTTTCAAGTACATCTACATTATTTATTTGTGAAACTTGTTATATGTCGCATTATTTGTGTTTCATTTATATTTAAAATAAATCTATGAGGCCTAGCACCAGCCTTTATGTGGAGACTAAAATATAGTTCTTGGCTTTTTTTAAATACATGTTAATTTCTATTAACGTACTATCAGGAAACATGTATAAAATCGTATTAATTGTATCACACATATGATCAAAGCCGGACACAGCGCTTGTGATCAAACACCCGTTGATAGACCACCTGTGATCAATGACCCTCTGCTAAGAAAACACATGTGGTCAAACCCCCTATGGTCAAACCCCCTATGATCAAACCCCCTATGGTCAAAGCACCGCTATGGTCAAAGGCCCGCTGTGGTCAAACCCCCTATGGTCAAAGCCCCTATGGTCAAAGGTCCGCTGTGGTCAAACCCCCTATGGTCAAACCCCCTATGGTCAAAGCACCTGTGGTCAAAGGTCCGCGCACCATATTTCAGATCTCTGCAACCCCCCCCCCCCTAGGCTAATGAACACCCCTCTATGTTTCAGATCTCTGCGACCGCCCTGGGCTAATGAACACCCCTCCATATTTCAGATCTCTGCGACCGCCCCTGGGCTAATGAACACCCCTCCATATTTCAGATCTCTGCGACCGCCCCTGGGCTAATGAACACCCCTCCATATTTCAGATCTCTGCGACCGCCCCTGGGCCCTGATATTTGAGAACGACGAGACGGGCGCGGCGCTACACGGGAGTAAAGAGGAGCTGAAGCAGGCCGTACTGCGGGGCGCCGAGATCCGGGTCCTGTTGAAGGACATGATGGTGGAGCCGTCCTCCATGGTCACCCACACCTTCTCATCTGGGGTGGACAACATCAACATCCGGGGGGACAACATTTGTTGTGAGGTCAGTGTGTACATTTGTTGTGAGGTCAGTGTGTACAACATTTGTTGTGAGGTCAGTGTGTACATTTGTTGTGAGGTCAGTGTGTACATTTGTTGTGAGGTCAGTGTGTACAACATTTGTTGTGAGGTCAGTGTGTACAACTTTTGTTGTGATGTCAGTGTGTACAACATTTGTTGTGAGGTCAGTGTGTACAACATTTGTTGTGATGTCAGTGTGTACAACATTTGTTGTATGTGGGTTTGTACAACATTTGTTGTGATGTGTGTACAACATTTGTTGTGATGTGTGTACAACATTTGTTGTGATGTGAGTTGGCGCAACATTTGCTCTAGGAGAAGATGATTTGATGAACCTTGCTGTTACCAAATATCTCAAATAGTAACGGCGTGGCCTAGTGGTAGAACGCTAGACTGCTAATCCGAAAGTGGCGAGAACAAAACCGGGTTGGAATCAGTAAAACGTCCCTGAGCACACACAGCTCTAATGGATACCTAACTCCCGTTAGGGAAAGTAAAGGCGGCTGGTCATAGTGCGAAGATCACAGAAACAGGTGAACTCTACTTCACCTGCCCCATGGACGGTCGGGTTCGAAAAAGAAACTTTACTTGCCACCATGCTAATGATTTATTTTTGACTGCTAGATCTTGTCTCACGTGGCGACGGCGGGGTTCGAGAGTGTGGTTGACGCCCACTGGCGCTTCTTCCTGCCGTGTACGACCGGAAGTGTCCACGTGGCGCAGTACTACGTCGAGAGTGCCGACTTCCTGTCTGAAGAGACGCAGCGAGTCAGGATAGCGTGGTACGCTAAGGAGATTCAGGTGAGACGGTCTAGCGTGGTACGCTAAGGAGATTCAGGTGAGATGGTCTAGCGTGGTACGCTAAGGAGATTCAGGTGAGAGGGTCTAGCGTGGTACGCTAAGGAGATTCAGGTGAGATGGTCTAGCGTGGTACGCTAAGGAGATTCAGGTGAGATGGTCTAGCGTGGTACGCTAAGGAGATTCAGGTGAGAGGGTCTAGCGTGGTACGCTAAGGAGATTCAGGTGAGATGGTCTAGCGTGGTACGCTAAGGAGATTCAGGTGAGATGGTCTAGCGTGGTACGCTAAGGAGATTCAGGTGAGAGGGTCTAGCGTGGTACGCTAAGGAGATTCAGGTGAGATGGTCTAGCGTGGTACGCTAAGGAGATTCAGGTGAGACGGTCTAGCGTGGTACGCTAAGGAGATTCAGGTGAGATGGTCTAGCGTGGTACGCTAAGGAGATTCAGGTGAGAGGGTCTAGCGTGGTACGCTAAGGAGATTCAGGTGAGATGGTCTAGCGTGGTACGCTAAGGAGATTCAGGTGAGATGGTCTAGCGTGGTACGCTAAGGAGATTCAGGTGAGAGGGTCTAGCGTGGTACGCTAAGGAGATTCAGGTGAGATGGTCTAGCGTGGTACGCTAAGGAGATTCAGGTGAGATGGTCTAGCGTGGTACGCTAAGGAGATTCAGGTGAGAGGGTCTAGCGTGGTACGCTAAGGAGATTCAGGTGAGATGGTCTAGCGTGGTACGCTAAGGAGATTCAAGTGAGACGGTCTAGCGTGGTAAAGAGATTCAGGTGAGAGGGTCTAGCGTGGTACGCTAAGGAGATTCAGGTGAGATGGTCTAGCGTGGTACGCTAAACGAGATTCTGGTCTAGCTAGTGCCACTACCCAATCAATAATTCTATTATTATTGAAATGGATCAAATGAAATACAATTGAACTAAAGAAAGTCAAATCATTAATAGCTGTTGATTCTTACAATCTCCCTCCCCAACTAAAGAAAGTCAAATCATTAATAGCTGTTGATTCTTACAATCTCCCTCCCCAACTAAAGAAAGTCAAATCATTAATAGCTGTTGATTCTTACAATCTCCCTCCCCAGCACGACCTCTACAACAACCGGCCACTGTTTGCACATTTCCTGGACGGTGGCTCCACCATCGGCACCAAGGAGGACCTGATCGACGCGGCCCGTGAAGGCAAGGAGATCCGTGCCCTCATGACAGACAGAGGCTACGCTTTTCCTTTCCAGGCAGGTCTCGTAGCATTTTAAACATCAGAGCCCTCACAGCACCAGGCAGGTCTCGTAGCATTTTAAACATCAGAGCCCTCACACCACGAGCACCAGGCAGGTCTCGTAGCATTTTAAACATCAGAGCCCTCACACCACGAACACCAGGCAGGTCTCGTAGCATTTTAAACATCAGAGCCCTCACAGCACCAGGCAGGTCTCGTAGCATTTTAAACATCAGAGCCCTCACAGCACCAGGCAGGTCTCGTAGCATTTTAAACATCAGAGCCCTCACACTAAGAGCACCAGGCAGGTCTCGTAGCATTTTAAACATCAGAGCCCTCACAGCACCAGGCAGGTCTCGTAGCATTTTAAACATCAGAGCCCTCACAGCACCAGGCAGGTCTCGTAGCATTTTAAACATCAGAGCCCTCACGAGCACCAGGCAGGTCTCGTAACATTTTAAACATCAGAGCCCTCACACTAAGAACACCAGGCAGGTCTCGTAGCATTTTAAACATCAGAGCCCTCACAGCACCAGGCAGGTCTCGTAACATTTTAAACATCAGAGCCCTCACAGCACCAGGCAGGTCTCGTAGCATTTTAAACATCAGAGCCCTCACGAGCACCAGGCAGGTCTCGTAACATTTTAAACATCAGAGCCCTCACACTAAGAACACCAGGCAGGTCTCGTAGCATTTTAAACATCAGAGCCCTCACAGCACCAGGCAGGTCTCGTAACATTTTAAACATCAGAGCCCTCACAGCACCAGGCAGGTCTCGTAACATTTTAAACATCAGAGCCCTCACAGCACCAGGCAGGTCTCGTAGCATTTTAAACATCAGAGCCCTCACAGCACCAGGCAGGTCTCGTAACATTTTAAACATCAGAGCCCTCACACTAAGAGCACCAGGCAGGTCTCGTAGCATTTTAAACATCAGAGCCCTCACAGCACCAGGCAGGTCTCGTAACATTTTAAACATCAGAGCCCTCACAGCACCAGGCAGGTCTCGTAACATTTTAAACATCAGAGCCCTCACAGCACCAGGCAGGTCTCGTAACATTTTAAACATCAGAGCCCTCACAGCACCAGGCAGGTCTCGTAGCATTTTAAACATCAGAGCCCTCACACTAAGAGCACCAGGCAGGTCTCGTAGCATTTTAAACATCAGAGCCCTCACAGCACCAGGCAGGTCTCGTAACATTTTAAACATCAGAGCCCTCACAGCACCAGGCAGGTCTCGTAACATTTTAAACATCAGAGCCCTCACAGCACCAGGCAGGTCTCGTAGCATTTTAAACATCAGAGCCCTCACACTAAGAGCACCAGGCAGGTCTCGTAGCATTTTAAACATCAGAGCCCTCACAGCACCAGGCAGGTCTCGTAACATTTTAAACATCAGAGCCCTCACAGCACCAGGCAGGTCTCGTAACATTTTAAACATCAGAGCCCTCACAGCACCAGGCAGGTCTCGTAGCATTTTAAACATCAGAGCCCTCACACTAAGAGCACCAGGCAGGTCTCGTAGCATTTTAAACATCAGAGCCCTCACAGCACCAGGCAGGTCTCGTAGCATTTTAAACATCAGAGCCCTCACAGCACCAGGCAGGTCTCGTAACATTTTAAACATCAGAGCCCTCACAGCACCAGGCAGGTCTCGTAGCATTTTAAACATCAGAGCCCTCACAGCACCAGGCAGGTCTCGTAACATTTTAAACATCAGAGCCCTCACAGCACGAACACCAGGCAGGTCTCGTAACATTTTAAACATCACAGCCCTCACAGCACCAGGCAGGTCTCGTAACATTTTAAACATCAGAGCCCTCACAGCACCAGGCAGGTCTCGTAACATTTTAAACATCAGAGCCCTCACACCACCAGGCAGGTCTCGTAACATTTTAAACATCAGAGCCCTCACAGCACCAGGCAGGTCTCGTAACATTTTAAACATCAGAGCCCTCACAGCACCAGGCAGGTCTCGTAACATTTTAAACATCAGAGCCCTCACAGCACCAGGCAGGTCTCGTAACATTTTAAACATCAGAGCCCTCACAGCACCAGGCAGGTCTCGTAGCATTTTAAACATCAGAGCCCTCACAGCACCAGGCAGGTCTCGTAACATTTTAAACACCAGAGCCCTCACACCACGCACCGTGGGGCGTTATCTGAATCTTGTGTGTACGTCCCGTCCCCCCATCTTTGCCGTCTAACTTGTCTCATATTGTCAAGATGTCAAAAAAGTCCCCCCCCCCCTGTTTGCCGTCTAAGTTGTCTCATATTGTCTTGATGTCAAAGTCCCCCCCCCCCCCTCCCTAATGTTTTCCGTCTAACTTGTCTCATATTGTCTTGATGTCAGTCCTCCCCCCCCCATGTTTGCCGTCTAAGTTGTCTCATATTGTCTTGATGTAAAAGTCCCCCCCCCCCTAATGTTTGCAATCTAACTTGTCTCATATTGTCTTGATGTCAAAGTCCCCCCCCCATGTTTGATGTCTAACTTGTCTCATATTGTCTTGATGTCAAAGTCCCCCCCCCCCCTAATGTTTGCCGTCTAACTTGTCTCATATTGTCTTGATGTCAAAGTCCCCCCCCCCCCCCTAATGTTTTCCGTCTAACTTGTCTCATATTGTCTTGATATCAGTCCCCCCCCCCATGTTTGCCGTCTAACTTGTCTCATATTGTCTTGATGTCAAAGTCCCCCCCCCCTAATGTTAACGTCTAACTTGTCTCATATTGTCTTGATGTCAGTCCCCCCCCATGTTTGATGTCTAACTTGTCTCATATTGTCTTGATATCAGTCCCCCCCCCCCCATGTTTGCCGTCTAACTTGTCTCATATTGTCTTGATGTCAAAGTCCCCCCCCCCTAATGTTTTCCGTCTAACTTGTCTCATATTGTCTTGATATCAGTCCCCCCCCCCATGTTTGCCGTCTAACTTGTCTCATATTGTCTTGATGTCAAAGTCCCCCCCCCCCTAATGTTAACGTCTAACTTGTCTTATATTTTCTTGATGTCAAAGTCCCCCCCCCCCTAATGTTGCCGTCTAACTTGTCTTATATTGTCTTGATGTCAGTCCCGCCCCCCCCCCCCCAATGTTTACCATCTAACCCATGACTTATCTTGCCTTGATGTCGTCAGGTGATCGCCTGGTCTGACACCGACGGTCGTGTCTGTGGACAGAGCAACAAACATCTCTCGCAGAAGTACAGCGGGAGCGACATCGTCTTCAACACACAGACCCCCTACATGTGGTTCTCATCCTGGTCCACCACGGGCCGCAGGGACAGCTCCAGGTGGGCGGTGGGCGGGGTCACCAACAGGGGTCGGGGGTCGGACTACGTCTCCCTCAAGTGGTTCGCGGACCCGTGCTGGCGTCACGTGTTCACGCACGACAGCAGCGGCAACCAGCTGCGGGGGTCACGTGAGTCCCTGGTGGCGGCCATCAAGGACGGGCACCGCGTGCGTGTTGTGGTGGACAGCCGCGCCATGGAGGCCTCCTTCATCCGCGTCAAGAACAACCACGTCAGCGCTTACTTCCTGGACGAGCTGTCCACCAAAGGGGGGCGGGGCTTCGACCAATTCGACTTCACCACGGACACGTACTTCAAGTTCACCACGGCGCACACCACGGGGACATTCCGGCAGTACGGACATTTTGTCCGGAACACCTCCACCACCGTCAGCCCCAGCCTGACCAAGCAGAAAATTTCATGGATGATTGACGTCAAGCCATGGGAGACGATTCTCAAGGTCAACGACAAGGGCGTGGTTATGTGGGGCCAGAAGGCCAACGTGAAGAACGCCATCGTCAAGTCTGCTGCCATCCGGATGTCGGTGGAGTTCGACACGTCCAGCGGCACGCTCTACCTCAGCGCCGACAACACCAAGGTCTCGTCGTCTGCCTCTGATGAAGACAGCGCCGCCCAGAGCGTGCGCGTCATGGGCGACCGGCCCATCGGCAGCTATGAATTCGAACTCTCGCCCGTGCCGTTCTGGGTGTTCCTGGTGGTGCCGACCTCCGGCAACGTGCACCTGTCGGGGTGGCAGATGGGCAAACACCACAGGTTCTTCCACAGGAGCGTGCCAGCAACGGTCGTCTGGTTCGCCAACTTGTAGAGGCCCTAGGCCAAACATGTGTGTGTGTTTGTTTGTTTGGTTACCGGCTGATCGACAGCAACCAATATCTTTTGGCAGAAATTAAACTAATTTATATACACGTGGCTAAAGTTTTGTGCATATTATTTTTATTAAAATTAATTGTTATAAAAAAATTAATAAAGCTATAAAATTTTAGCTATAAATTTTAGCCAAACTGTATGTAGCAGTTTTTATGATTTAACATAAAAACGAGAGAAGCAACGAAAAATCTGTTAATCTGAAATAAATAAAAGACGTAGACGTAGCGATCTTGTTGTTGTGGTTTAAGTGTATGAAGTCGGTACATATCAGATGGGGAGCGGCAGACATGCTCCGGGGTGGGAACGTTCGGTACATGTTAGTCTTTAGTTGTAGGTGTAAAATTTGTAGTGGACTTTACAGACATGTTAGTCTTTAGTTGTAGGTGTAAAGTTTGTAGTGGACTTTACGGACATGTTAGTCTTTAGTTGTAGATGTAAAGTTTGTAGTGGACTTTACGGACATGTTAGTCTTTAGTTGTAGATGTAAAGTTTGTAGTGGACTTTACAGACATGTTAGTCTTCAGTTGTAGATGTAAAGTTTGTAGTGGACTTAACAGACACATTAGTCTTTAGTTGTCGATGTAAAGTTTGTAGTGGACTTAACAGACATGTTAGTCTTTAGTTGTAGATGTAAAGTTTGTAGTGGACTTTACGGACATGTTAGTCTTTAGTTGTAGATGTAAAGTTTGTAGTGGACTTTACGGTCATGTTGGTCTTCAGTTGTAGATGTAAAGTTTGTAGTGGACTTTACAGACATGTTAGTCTTCAGTTGTAGATGTAAAGTTTGTAGTGGACTTTACGGTCATGTTAGTCTTCAGTTGTAGATGTAAAGTTTGTAGTGGACTTAACAGACATGTTAGTCTTCAGTTGTAGATGTAAAGTTTGTAGTGGACTTAACAGACATGTTAGTCTTCAGTTGTAGATGTAAAGTTTGTAGTGGACTTTACAGACATGATTCATCCACTCACTGAGTTGGCAAGTCTCAGGGGTTTGTTGAGAAGATAGTGCACAACATCGAATTATTGAACACACATTGTATGTCAGTTTACAAAGACACATTGTATTTAGCAGACCGCTAATCGTACACTGCTTTGAAAATATTGAGAAACAAAAATATCGAAATATAAACGTAACGAAAACTTTATTTTAAAAACATTTTGTGTTGGAAAAAAATCTCTTCACTTGGTGTACTTCGTCTGCCAGTTTTTTTTGGATGTTGTAGGGTGTTGTAAGTTGTTGATGGATGTTGTAGGATGGTGTATGCTGTTGTTGAAATGTTGTTGGTAATATGTCCCACAGTACCACACTATTAATGAACACACTGGAAGCTAATACTTGTCAAGCTTTTGTCACGAAATCAGCGGGAATGTTAGTACACCATTGTACATCATTGTACACATCGTTTGCTCAACATTTCATACACCCACAGGATAGCATTTTAGTTTCTGATGAGATCTGTGAATAATTAACCTGCTAACCCACACGTTTAGCACGTCTAACGTATCAAACCCCACGTTTAACGTGCGGTATCCGCCAACCCCTCACAGGTTAGCAAACCACGTGACCGTGGCTTCCGGCGCGCCCTCGTCGTACCGGAAGCTGTCTGTGCCGTACATCCAGGCGCTCATGCGGACCTGCCCGCGGGAGGAGATGACCAGGTACCAGCTGAAGAGCTGGAGCTGCAGCTCGTACTCGTCCGGCGTCCTTGCCTTCTTGTCGCTGACATGGTCCAGGGCCTGGGCGTACACCGTCTCGCTCAGCAGGTCGGCGCGGATGTTGTTGGCCTGTGGGGGGACAAGGTCAAGGTTAGCTCACGGTAGGATGACAAGGTCAACGTGGAGCCCACGGTTGGATAACAAGGTCAACGTGTAGCCCACGGTAGGATGACAAGGTCAAGGTTAGCACTCGGTAGGATGACAAGGTCAACGTGTTGCCCACGGAATGACAAACACCCCCCCCCCCACCCCTTCCACGCCAGGACTAATCTAACTGTCAGGTCATGTGATAGTCCCAAGACCATAAATGTCCCAACAAGACCATGTTAGTATTAAGACCATAAATGTCCCAACAAGACCATGTAAGTATCAAGACCATAAATGTCATAAGAAAGTAATTGTCCCAAGGTCAGGATTATCCTAAGGTCATGAAAATAGATGAGGGTTTTACCGAGGGTATCATACATGGCACTTAACATCCGATATTTTTGTTCATGAACTCACCTGTGTGAAGAACGAACCAGCCAACGGGTCGAGTTCTATATTTAGACGAATGGAGGCACCGTGCTGAATGGCAAGTTCAAGGTCACGTGTTGAGCCCTGTATCGCGTCTCCAGGCGGGTCGACGGTTTTGAGTACCACGGTCCATGGTCGTGTGTCGACCATCCACTCCACTCGTCTTTTGATTGGCACGTTGATCTGAGGACATACAAAACATATGCAGGGGGTTTATGTACGTTATACGACGTAAGGTGTGGGCAACTATACGGTTATGTAAGATATATTTTCAGGATTAGTTTGAGACCTAATGTAAGGCCTAATGAGAGACCTAATGAGAGACCTAATGAGAGACCTATTGAGAGACCTAATGAGAGACCTAATGGGAGACCTAATGTGAGACCTATTGAGAGACCTAATGTGAGACCTATTGAGAGGCCTAATGTGAGACCTATTGAGAGGCCTAATGTGAGACCTATTGAGAGACCTAATGTGAAACCTAATGTAAGACCTAATGTGAGACCTAATGTAAGACCTAATGTGAAGCCACGTGTGAGACCTATTGAGAGACCTAATGTGAGGCCTAATGTGAGACCTAATGTGAGACCTATTGAGAGACCTATTGAGAGACCTATTGAGAGACCTAATGAGAGACCTAATGTGAGACCTATTGAGAGACCTATTGAGAGACCTAATGAGAGACCTATTGAGAGACCTATTGAGAGACCTAATGAGAGACCTATTGAGAGACCTATTGAGAGACCTATTGAGAGACCTATTGAGAGACCTATTGAGAGACCTATGAGAGACCTATTGAGAGACCTAATGAGAGACTTATTAAGAGACCTATTGAGAGACCTATTGAGAGACCTAATGAGAGACCTAATGAGAGACCTATTGAGAGACCTATTGAGAGACCTATTGAGAGACCTAATGAGAGACCTATTGAGAGACCTATTGAGAGACCTAATGATGACCTATTGAGAGACCTAATGAGAGACCTATTGAGAGACCTAATGAGAGACTTATTAAGAGACCTATTGAGAGACCTATTGAGAGACCTAATGAGAGACCTAATGAGAGACCTATTGAGAGACCTATTGAGAGACCTATTGAGAGACCTAATGAGAGACCTATTGAGAGACCTATTGAGAGACCTAATGATGACCTATTGAGAGACCTAATGAGAGACCTATTGAGAGACCTAATGAGAGACTTATTAAGAGACCTATTGAGAGACCTATTGAGACACCTAATGTGAGGCCTAATGAGAGACCTAATGAGAGACCTAATGAGAGACCTATTGAGAGACCTATTGAGAGACCTAATGATGACCTATTGAGAGACCTAATGAGAGACCTATTGAGAGACCTAATGAGAGACTTATTAAGAGACCTATTGAGAGACCTATTGAGACACCTAATGTGAGGCCTAATGAGGGACCTAATGAGAGACCTAATGAGAGACCTATTGAGAGACCTATTGAGAGACCTAATGAGAGACCTAATGAGAGACCTATTGAGAGACCTAATGAGAGACCTAATGTGAGGCCTAATGAGAGACCTAATGAGAGACCTAATGAGAGACCTATTGAGAGACTTATTGAGAGACCTAATGAGAGACCTATTGAGAGACCTAATGTGAGACCTAATATGAGACCTATTGAGAGACCGACCTTTCTATTGGCGTCAGTGCCAATGAGGTACTCGTGGGACTGGATTCTTCCTGTCGTGTGGACAATGCTGATCCTGACCCTCGTCATTCGCTCGATGATTCTGTAAATAGGATGGTGTTGGTTAGAGGTGTCTGTTGGAGGTGTTGGTTAGAGGTGTTTGGTGAAGGTGTTGGTTAAAGGTGTTGGTTAAAGGTGTTTGGTGAAGGTGTTGGTTAAAGGTGTTGGTTAAAGGTGTTTGGTGAAGGTGTTGGTTAGAGGTGTTTGGTGGAGGTGTTTGGTGGAGGTGTTTGGTGGAGGTGTTGGTTAAAGGTGTTGGTTAAAGGTGTTGGTTAGAGGTGTTGGTCGCAGGAGTTTGTTGATGGTGTTTTGTCGGAGGCATTAGCTGATGGTGTTTGTTGAAGTTGTAGATTAATGGTGTTTGGTGTTGCTAAATGGTGTTTGTTCGTGCTATTGGTTACAGGGTGTAGGTTAATGGTGTTTGTTGGAGTGTTAGCTATGCTAGACATAGGTTAATTGTGTTATGCTGAATATGTCCTTCTATTGTATTTTACTAGAGCCTTGTGTAGCAGCTAAAGCAGCCCATACACAGATTTTTTTTTATCTTAATAGACAAGGCCGTCCACCAAATGTGATATCAAACGTCATTTCTGAATGTTGTGGACCGTTCCACTTGACCTTTGTGTTGACCTATGACCCGACACTGACCTTGACGAGCCAGAGTCCTTGGCTAAAGTGATCTCGTTCAGGAGTTGAGCCGCCACCACCTGACCTTTGACCCGAATGTTGCTCACTTCCATGGCGATGTTGTCGTATCGCACGCGCACCCTGTGGCCCCGTCTAACGGCATTGATCAGGTCCTCCACCGACCCATGGACGGGGTAGCCGTTTTCGTCGTTGGTGTAGATGTGGCGCCAGCACACGTCGGCGTACCTGTAGGGTGGGGGGGGGGGGGGACGGGACCATGAAACACAGGGTAAAGAAGGACAAGTTTTGAACGTAGAATGTGAGGGTGACCCCAGGTGACCCCTGCCCAAGTCAGAGGTTACGGGGCTACTCGTGTCTAGTGTCCATCTTTTTTTTTTTTACAAAATTTAAGGTTAGCTTTCCCCAACCAACGTTTTAAAAGATCAGCCAATTCCATGTGATTTTAAAGCCATAGAGGGAGCCCTTCTCCCACACAGCTTTTCCCAAAAAAACAGACACATTCTCCCACACAATAAAATCCCCTTTCCCACACAGAGAAGCCCTGTTCGAGTGAAAGCCTTGTCCCAAATAGAAAGCCTTGTCCCCCACAAAAACCCTTGTCCCCCACATATTTTACAAACGAGTGGACCAACATCCAACTGACCAGTCCAGCGCGGCCGTGTCCGTGTTGTGCTTGTAGGCGACGTTCTTCTGTACTGACCAGCGGACATTGTCCCTGTGTCCAGTGTTGGACCAATAGGAGAACCACTTGTACGGCACGTGATGGAAGCTGATGTAGTTGTCTAGGTAGCTGGGGCATGATGGTATACAGGTGACATGATGGTATACAGGTGACATGATGGTATACAGGTGACATGATGGTATACAGGTGACATTATACAGGTGACGTGATGGTATACAGGGGACATTATACAGGTGACATGATGGTATACAGTTTACAGGTGACATGATGGTATACAGGGGACATTATACAGGTGACATTATACAGGTGACATGATGGTATACAGGTGACATGATGGTATACAGGTGACATGATGCAGGTGACATGATGGTATACAGGTGACATTATACAGGTGACATGATGGTATACAGGGGACATTATACAGGTGACATGATGGTATACAGTTTACAGGTGACATGATGGTATACAGGGGACATTATACAGGTGACATTATACAGGTGACATGATGGTATACAGGTGACATGATGGTATACAGGTGACATGATGCAGGTGACATGATGGTATACAGTTGACATTATACAGGTAACATGATGGTATACAGGTGACTTTATACAGGTGACATGATGGTATACAGGTGACATGATGGTATACAGGTGACATGATGGTATACAGGTGACATGATGGTATACAGGTGACATGATGGTATACAGGTGACATGATGGTATACAGGTGACATGATGTTATACAGGTGACATGATGGTATTCATGTGACATGATGGTATACAGTAATTAAGAATCTGCCCCTGACCTTTGACCCATATGCATGAGGTTCTGCCCACTGACCTCCCCGCTGACCGGGTCCAGCAGAACGTTGTGCAGGGGGAAGACGTACGGCTTGTCCCGCATGGACAGCAAGAGGTTCATGCACTTGGCCGCCTCGTGTAGCTGTCCTAGACTGGACTCTTTCAGTGGACAGCCGTCAAAGAAGTTGGAATAGATTGGCTCAGTGTTGGGGCCAATGTCCTGTAGACAGGTAATGCAATATCTCGCAGTACAGTCAACAACATAACTAGTATAATTGCTCAAGTAACTTCTTCCCTAGAGAACGAGAATACTGGTCGGCTTTGCTTTGGTCCATGTATTACCTTGACAAACTTTAAGACTGTTTTACCTTGACAAACCAGTCAATGGCGACCCGGAAGACGCTGGTGTTGTAGAGGTCACGCTCCGTCACGTGACCCGTGGTGCAGACGGCGTAGAAAAGCCAGGGGTCGCTCGTGTCAATATGGCTGCCGTTGTTAGCCAGTGCCCGCAAGGACTGGAAGCAAATCTGAAACAGGGAACATGTAGGGAACTGTGGGCTGGTTGGTGGGCTGGTTGGTGGGCTGGTTGGTGGGCTGGTGGGTGGGCTGGTGGGTGGGCTGGTGGGTGGGCTGGTGGGTGGGCTGGTTGGTGGGCTGGTTGGTGGGGGGTGGAAAAAATGTATTCTCGATGTTTACAGAGACCTTCACTATATCTTCATATGCCGAGGTCACAGAAACAAGTGAACTCTACTTCACTTGCCCCATAGACCGTCAGGTTTGAAAGGGAAACTTCACTCTTACTTTCAGGCAAAGAGAGTTAAAAATGTAAACATAAATTGTTATTGAATGGACTTTTCTTACAGCTTACATTGTGGCCAACACCTAGACGTGTTGTGACCAATACACGAATGTGGGACCCTCACAACAATGTGTGACACAAACAAAACTGTGTGTGGTGATCAACAGAAAGATGTGTGTGGCCCATAAAAAGTGGTGTTATCCACATTAAATGTGTGTGGTGACCCCACCAAAACGTATGTTTCCCACGAAAACGTGTGTTGCCCACACAGAACGTATGTAGCCCACACAAAACGTGTGTTGCCCACACAGAACGTGTGGTGACCCCCACCAAAACGTGTGTTGCCCACACAAAACGTGTGTTTCCCACACAAAACGTGTGTTGCCCACACAGAAGTGTGTGAGTCCTACCTCGTTGTCCCTACGGTTGATGTTGTCAGCCGGCAGCTGCAGGACGTGGTCCGGCATGTAGAGGTTGGCCTTGATGGAGTTGCCGGACATGGCCAATACGATCAGCTCCTTCTTGCTGCCCAGCGTGGTGTTGCCGTACTGGTCGTGTGAGTAGATCAGCTCCCAGCGCCGCTCACACACGTCTGGTGATATGGAAGGTGGGTTAGTGGGCGTGTCATGGGCGGCGTCACAAGTTTGTGGGTTAGTGGGCGTGTCGTGGTCGGTGTCACAAGTTCGTGGGTTAGTGGGCGTGTCATGTGCGGTGTCATATTGGTGGGTTAGTGGCGTGTCATGGGCGGTGTCATTTTGCTGGGTTAGTGGGCGTGGCATGGGCGGCGTCACAAGTTCGTGGGTTAGTGGACGTGTCATGGGCGGCGTCACAAGTTCGTGGGTTAGTGGGCGTGTCATGGGCGGTGTCATATTGGTGGGTTAGTGGGCGTGTCATGGGCGGTGTCATATTGCTGGGTTAGTGGGCGTGTCATGGGCGGTGTCATATTGGTGGGTTAGTGGGCGTGTCATGGGCGGTGTCATATTGCTGGGTTAGTGGGCGTGTCATGGGCGGTGTCATATTGCTGGGTTAGTGGGCGTGTTATGGGCGGTGTCATATTGGTGGGTTAGTGGGCGTGTTATGGGCGGTGTCATATTGCTGGGTTAGTGGGCGTGTCATGGGCGGTGTCGTGTTGCTGGTTTAGGGGGCATGTCATGGGGATCAAAATTTCTCTACGATCTGCCAGTGGGCGTGTAATGGGTGTAAACCATAGTCAAATAAACTCCTAACTTATTTAGAGTATCTGACAAACTTCTGACCTACTTAGGATAACTAACAAACTCCTGACCTAGTAAGGAAAACTGACAAACTCCTGACCTACTGAGGATAACTGAAAAACTTCTGACCTACTTAGGATAAATGACAAACTGCTGACCTACTTAGATAACTGACAAACTCCTGACTTACTCAATAATGCGTTTGTGGCTGACCTGGCCTCGGTCACGTGACACAAGCTGGCGATGAGGAGGGTGAGCAGTGCCAGAGACATTCTGTTGGCCGGAGACTGGTACTGGGAAGGTCAAGGTCGTTTAGTGTTGTACTTGCTTTATTTAGCTGCTCTTGTCGGTACACACAAAAGTTCAAGGTCACCGTTAAGTTTCTTTCAATGTGCTAGTGGGTAGAATAAAAAAAATATTTCGAGCTATTCGGTGAAATCGTCCTAGTTGGTCGATGTTAAAATAGAATTTTTTTTATAACAACAGAAACACGAATAGCTGGGATCTTGACATGGACCAACTCAACCTTCTGCCCGTGGGTGGGTAAGATCTAGATTTGTAAATACAATTTAATAAAATGATATGAACGAAAACAAAAGTAAGGTTGTTTTTTTTTTACTTGCAGATCACACTTCAACCTCATTCACAATAATAAACCAATTCTTGCATTACAGTAAACATTTTATGTCAATTTCATATTTTAATTTTTAAATTTATGTTTATTATAAAACAGAGCCTCTAGTTGAACAAAAAAAGTTTTAGAATCAACTTTAGAAAATTTTAAAATAAAGTTATATTTTCGGAGTGTTGAGCATTTGCACAGTTGGTCGTAGTCCAGTTGGCGATCTTCCGTGTTAGGGAACATGGGGAACATGGGGGGCATGGGGAACATGGGGGGCATGGGGAACATGGGGGACATGGGGGGCATGGGGAACATGGGGAACATGGGGGGCATGGGGAACATGGGGGGCATGGGGAACATGGGGGACATGGGGAACATGGGGGACATGGGGAACATGGGGGGCATGGGGGGCATGGGGAACATGGGGGGCATGGGGAACATGGGGGGCATGGGGAACATGGGGGACATGGGGAACATGGGGGACATGGGGAACATGGGGGGCATGGGGGGCATGGGGAACATGGGGGGCATGGGGAACATGGGGGACATGGGGGGCATGGGGAACATGGGGGGCATGGGGAACATGGGGGGCATGGGGAACATGGGGAACATGGGGGGCATGGGGAACATGGGGGGCATGGGGAACATGGGGGACATGGGGAACATGGGGGACATGGGGAACATGGGGGGCATGGGGGGCATGGGGAACATGGGGGGCATGGGGAACATGGGGGGCATGGGGAACATGGGGGACATGGGGAACATGGGGGACATGGGGAACATGGGGGGCATGGGGGGCATGGGGAACATGGGGGGCATGGGGAACATGGGGGACATGGGGGGCATGGGGAACATGGGGGGCATGGGGAACATGGGGGGCATGGGGAACATGGGGAACATGGGGGGCATGGGGAACATGGGGGGCATGGGGAACATGGGGGACATGGGGAACATGGGGGACATGGGGAACATGGGGGGCATGGGGGGCATGGGGAACATGGGGGGCATGGGGAACATGGGGGACATGGGGAACATGGGGGACATGGGGAACATGGGGAACATGGGGGGCATGGGGAACATGGGGGGCATGGGGAACATGGGGGACATGGGGAACATGGGGGACATGGGGAACATGGGGGACATGGGGGGCATGGGGAACATGGGGAACATGGGGGGCATGGGGAACATGGGGAACATGGGGAACATGGGGGGCATGGGGAACATGGGGAACATGGGGAACATGGGGAACATGGGGAACATGGGGGACATGGGGAACATGGGGGACATGGGGAACATGGGGGACATGGGGAACATGGGGAACATGGGGGGCATGGGGAACATGGGGGGCATGGGGAACATGGGGGACATGGGGAACATGGGGGACATGGGGAACATGGGGAACATGGGGGGCATGGGGACCATGGGGAACATGGGGAACATGGGGAACATGGGGAACATGGGGGGCATGGGGAACATGGGGGACATGGGGAACATGGGGAACATGGGGAACATGGGGGGCATGGGGAACATGGGGGGCATGGGGAACATGGGGGACATGGGGAACATGGGGGACATGGGGAACATGGGGAACATGGGGAACATGGGGGACATGGGGAACATGGGGGACATGGGGAACATGGGGGACATGGGGAACATGGGGGACATGGGGGACATGGGGGGCATGGGGAACATGGGGGACATGGGGAACATGGGGGGCATGGGGAACATGGGGGACATGGGGGGCATGGGGAACATGGGGGGCATGGGGGGCATGGGGAACATGGGGGGCATGGGGAACATGGGGGGCATGGGGGGCATGGGGGGCATGGGGAACATGGGGGGCATGGGGAACATGGGGGACATGGGGGGCATGGGGAACATGGGGAACATGGGGGACATGGGGGACATGGGGGACATGGGGGGCATGGGGAACATGGGGGACATGGGGGACATGGGGGACATGGGGGGCATGGGGAACATGGGGGGCATGGGGGGCATGGGGAACATGGGGAACATGGGGGGCATGGGGAACATGGGGAACATGGGGGACATGGGGAACATGGGGGACATGGGGGGCATGGGGAACATGGGGAACATGGGGGGCATGGGGGACATGGGGGACATGGGGAACATGGGGGACATGGGGAACATGGGGGGCATGGGGAACATGGGGGACATGGGGGGCATGGGGAACATGGGGGGCATGGGGAACATGGGGGACATGGGGGGCATGGGGAACATGGGGGACATGGGGGGCATGGGGAACATGGGGGACATGGGGGGCATGGGGAACATGGGGGGCATGGGGAACATGGGGAACATGGGGGGCATGGGGAACATGGGGGACATGGGGAACATGGGGGACATGGGGAACATGGGGGACATGGGAGTAGTATATTAGGTCCCTTTTGATTATTATTTTTGGCGGAGCAGGTGGTGGGAAGGCGCAAAGGTTATATAGTAAAATACTCGGAGCAGGATGCGCAGCCTGCCGCAGCCTGCCGCAAAGACATATAGTAAAATACTACGCCAGCTGCCGCAGGGTGGTGGAGCAGGATGCGCAGGATGCGCAAAGACATATAGTAAAATACTACGCCAACTGGTGTTGGCGGAGCAGTGAAGGGTGAGTCACCTTTTGGTGACCTTGTGACGTAATCATTGACCTTGTGACGTAATTAGTAACATTATGACGTCATCATTGTCCTAGTTACGTAATTTTAATGTGTTTTTTAATTAGTTTTAATGAGTTTTTTAAATTTTAATTAATTTTTGACCTAGTTACGTAATTTTATTGTTTTTTAATTAATTTGATTTTAATTACTTTGTTTGTGTTTTGTTTGTTTATTTTTAATAAGTTTAATTAATTCGATTTTTTATTTATTTTGTATTTGTTTGATTTTAACTTTTTAATTATTTTTATTTTGTTTATTTTTAATTTAATTATTTTATTTTTAATAAGTTTAATTAATTTGATTTTTATTTATTTTGTATCTAGTTACGTAATTTTAATTTTATTTTATAATTAGTTTGAATTTTTATTGACTAGTTATGTAATTTAATTACTTTGAGTGTTTAATTAGTTTGTTTACTTGTTGTTTAATTTAATTACTTTGTTTATATTGTGTAATTTTTATTGACCTAGTTACGTAATTTTAATGAGTTTTTTAATGAGTTTGAATTTAATTTTTTGTAATTAGTTAAATTATTATTAACTAGTTACGTAATTTGATTATTTGTTTACTTTGTTGTTTAATTTGTTGGTTTGTTTATTTGCTTGTATGTATGTTTTAAATAAAAGGCTAACACTAGCGTGGACTTTGTATAGGGACCATTCAGCAACACAACGAACGGTTACCGAAAATAGAACATTCATTTAACCACATCTGTTACTTAGCGATCCGCGATCCTTTGTTTTTGACACGCGCTCCCCATTTTTTAATGGGAATGTATTGATCGCACCTACGGGCCATCACACCTAATTAATTTGGTCATGCATCGTGGGTTTTTCCCCGCTCGATTTGACGGGTCATGATGATTTATGTGGGTTCGCGAAGCGATCCCACCGGGGGGTATGGTAATTAACGACGTACATTAAGTGGCTTTCCGCGAAGCACTTAGGTCATTATCCAACAGCTGTTGTGCGACAGCTGGTGGTGTAATTACGCTGAGCAATCGTATAAATGACCGCGAAAATTGTGTTCTAATCACTTCGACTTCACACTCCGAACCAAGCTTCACCGCGACTTATCCAGCCTGCGACCTCTGTTGACTCCTGAGACTAACCCACGCCAGCTTTATCAACCATCACATCTACCTAACCCTCCACGGACCACATCTTTTGTGCGTGTTTATTCTATTAAAGGTAAGGTTAATATTACTTTTGTTTTAAGGGTGCTAACCCCATTAAAATCAAATCTTATTAAATAAGTAGTCACAGGTATTTAATTTTGTATCGTACACCGAGGTAAGGTTAATAGTACGTATTGTTTTAAGGGAGCTAACCCCATTAAAATCAAATCTTATTAAATAAGTAGTCACATGTATTTACTTTACTTTTTGTATCGCACACCGAGGTAAGGTTAATAGTACGTATTGTTTTAAGGAAACTAACCAATTAAAATAACCTTTAAATAAACATGTATCTAAATAAGTAGGCAACTGTATTCCTTTTTAGTGTACAACCGAGTCATCGACACAACCACTGACCCTATTGAGCTACCCACCCATCCCCGATCCATCCACTGAACCAAAGGATCCAACGACATCCAACTTCACAACCCCAGATCGAACTTAGACGTTCAAACAAACCCATAGGTACGTTTCATTTTTAATTTAGTTTTTGTTTTAAGTATGTTTTTTTATGTTATGTATTTTATTTTATGTATTTATTTTATTTTTTTTCTACAGCCAGCGACCAAGCCAGTCATTCAACAGTTCCACACACTAGACACCACGTCAATAATGGAAGCCGCCCAACCTACCAGCCACCCAGCCATGTCCTGTAACAAGTGTGACATATGCGAGCGGGTATTCACCCGCAGAAACGATTTGACAAGACATCAAGACTCTGCACACGGACGACAAAGACATCCCTGCACAACATGCGGGAAAGTATTTACAAGACTAAGTAATTTGACAAGACACTATAAGACAGCACACAACAACCAAACATCACCGACCGACACCCCATCACCAACCAACAGACAAACACACCAATCCACATCTGTGACCGACACACATACTCCCCAACCCCCATCAGCGAGTCAAACAGA